GTTGACAATTTCCGTCCAGGCTAATATGTCTTCACGCCCGAAGAAGCCATGCCCGGAAGAAAATAACGCTGGCCACCACTGGTAACCATAAGCCAAACGTGACGTAGCCAAGAGAGCGCAAATGCGCAATGTTCCCTGTTCCCTGCCGCTCTAGAAGCAGCGAGAATAATGCTACCTATTTCGACGGAACTTTGGCGAAATTTCTACGGCATTCGATTACGATATTTGAACGCTAACCGCGAGCATATCGACACAGTCAAGTGGGCGTTAGAGTGCGGTACGCGAAGTGATTTAGCAAGGCGATAAACATTCAGATAATAGTGAAGTTTTTGTTGATGTGTTTCTTGTATTTATAGTGAAATAAAGTTATGTTTGATTATTCAGTGTAGTCAATTATTGGTAATCCCACGGGGAAAAACGTAACAATACAACTTGATTTTCAAAAGAAGTGGCATCAGCACGAAGTGGAGAATTAAATATGGAGACATCAAGTCAACCCCAAGTGATTTCAGGTAATTACTATCTAGTTAGATATAGACTTTAGGTGTTCTTAACTTGTTGGTGGACAATGTCTGACTACATAGAGATTGATGTTATTAAGGAAAGCTGATTTGCTCACTCTAAAATAAATCATGACTATGTGAATCTAATAACATTCTTCCGGTCACGGCAATAGCGCTTTGATCAATTCCATTATAAATGACAAATAGAACTCCATTGTATATTGTCCTACTGGTAAATACAATCGGGGACTGTTCCTTAGTTTTGTCATTTAATACGTGTAAATTCATCGTAACTGATAAGTAGACAATTGTTGTGTGTATGGATATTTAATTGAGAAAGCTCTTAGCGTATATGCACTGATTTCTCAAAAAAAGTTGACGAACTGGATTTCAGCCTTCTTTTGATACATTATTTCAAAGCGTTCAATACAGAACAATTTGTATTTGGAACACTAAGAACTCCAAGTGAGAATTTTGTCCAGTACATTTACAAATTGAAAAAAATGTTTTGTTCATCATTTGAGAACAAATTTACCAATCCTCTAGTTTCAAATGCATATTTGAATGAAATGAAATTTGTCCCTTTTTAACATCTTTGCGAGTCTTTTCCACAGTTGTATGTTTTGAAACTATTTGTTAGACTGAGATTATTTCATACTCTAACATATTTCAATAGAGATTTGAAGGATACTAATTATAAGAAGAAAAAGAACAGGAAGCTGATTATATTATCACATGTTTGAAATATCTGATAATGTGTTCCTACATTTGCATTCTTGGTATTATACAGTTCACATATTTACTCAGGTTACATTAACTAGTATCGACTAATGAAATGAGTTCCATTTGATTTATTCAATGACGTGGTGGTGTCATGTAGGAAAGCACCTGTAAAATTTGATAGGTATACATGATGAACTAACGAATTTTTTTGGACAACCTTTGAGAAAGGGATTCTGACTTGTTCACTCAGTTTCGTAGTGAGAACATACTGTATAATTTTCGGTAAGTATTCGTAGTTTACCCTGTATATTTTATTAACTGTTATGAATTAAGTATATAATAATTGGTGCCATCTTGCCATTGGATTTTTATCTGTTGGATGGCCTTGTTACAAATGAATGATTAAACAAATCATACGAGAAATATGTTGTTTTTTTTAAATCATTTAACGAATTTACAGGTTTTTGATATTTTTTTCTACATCCGTACTGTAATAATACACTTATATTTCCATAAATCGTTTCGTTTCGCGGCAATGAAATAGCCTAATCGGATATACGACAACGACATAGACCGCTAGACCACCGGCCGAACTTTAATGAAGTTCAGCTTTATTCTTTAGTGTTGGTCGACAATCACCTTATAAATAATAAGCTACTTTATTAATCATAACTAATGAAATGGTGAAGCACCGTTTGTTTAAGTGTTTTTCAGCCTATCAACAATGAGGCTAGACTACTTGGCAATGGATACACTAGACGAATGACTACAGTGTTACTAATCAAAATAAAAGATATTAAATTTCATCAAACCTCATATAATACTTAAGTTCGTCTGATATATGTACTTGCTTGAAAATCTAAAATCGAAAAACGTTTTTGAGTTCAATTCAATTGTTGTTTGATTTTTTTTTATGATTGATTCGTGTCATAAATCACTTGAAAAAGCTAATGTCTCAGCGAAACATGTTGTGATATATTTTTCAAATGAAGTTTGTGGAGATCAAATCGTGAAGTGTAGTTTTTGGAAAAAAGTTTGATATTATGTTTACCTCCTAATTGTAGCCATTTCAACCAAATTCATAGCATTTCTGATGTGGTTTCAGGAAAACTGATCAAAACAATAAATTAATAACTTTAAAAGAATATTTGTATTTGAATCCATTTACTTCGTATTATAATTCATAGACTTGACTCCTTTAAATAGAAACATCAAGATTTTGTATCAAAGTGAAAGTTTTCTGATGAAATATTAGTAAATTTGAATAAAAATTACACCTACAAAATTCAATAGTAAAAGTTTGTCAAAAATTCAGTCCATCAAAAATATATCAAGTATCATAACGAAAACGAATATGAATCAACAATGTTATTTTTCTTAGTGTAGTGCGTAGTGTAAAATTTTAATCACTTCCTGTGCCATTTTTCTCAGTGTATCAATTAGTATCTCAACAATGCTGTGACGTATTTCCTCTGAATATCTTGTACAACCTACATCGAAGGTTCCGACAAATCATTCGCCTCTGGTAGTTGGCGTACTCTTTGCTTGGTTATTTTTACTGTGATTATACTATGCGCTGATCACAATACAATAACAAGTACACCAATCAATGTTTACTGATAATCTGTTGACTCCAAATGAAATACAAATATTACAACTTCACAAGAAAACTAATGTTTACTATCTCAGAATGAATGGACAGTGTTGCCAGTAGGTAAATATGAAATTATTAGAAATATCAAAAGTTTTCTGTATACATAATTTCACTAAAGCATTTTCTGCAATTTCTGAGGTATTGTTGACTACATAATTTGGGCATATAACTGTTAAATATACAAGAATTTTGGCTCGGATAATATCGTAATATAATCAATTCACAGTAAATGCCAGAAATTAATCAAGAATCGGCAACACATTCATAAGACAGGAAGTATAGATTGACATTAACAGAAATACTGATTGTTTCGCGCATGCGCACTGAAAATTTATATCCCGAAAAAATGTTCTTTTTCGCCTCTTGGTAGAGATGGGAAATACCGTTCCTTCGTTGGAGCGCTCCAGTCGCGATCGCAACTGGAAAATACCGCGACAAAATACCGCGACAAAATACCGCGATTAAATACTGAATACTCCATAGCGAAACTTTATATGAGAAGGAACGACCATACTAAGCATTATGGAACGAATTATATTTCTCGTTCACACAAAAGGGTTTTTAAAAACTTTTTATTTGAACAGAGTAACAACTAATAACTATAAAATATAAGTACTGGCTATTACACATCAATTGAACCTATTTATATATATAAATTATTGCCGACTTTGCAGATATCAGCAAAATAATTGATGTCGTCTTCGGGTCATCGAACAATATCCTGCTGATGTAAGAGGTTATCGAACTGTAACTTCTCCATCCCCTGGGGAAGTCTTGTAAGGGACGAACAAGACTGAAGATGATGCTTCGTGTTCGGGAACTGGTGGATCATCATTGGATGGTTCTTTCTTCGTTTGCCTTTTCAATCTGTAAATTACGTATAGAATGAAGATGGTGATTGAAATGTAAATGGGAGTCATCCAGAAATGGCTATTATCAGATTGTCTGGTTTCTTCTGGGATGAGTTGTAACCTCTCTTCTTCTAGGGTCAGATGTTGTAGTTTATCCAGGGGAATCTTATCTAATTTCAATGGTTTGAATTTCAGCGAGGAATTGATGTGAGCTGTCTTGATAT